TCGAAAAGCTGTTAGATCAATCTCTGCTGAATTAAAATGTGAAACACGATGTAGCTGTTGTTACTAATCATGTGCATATTGTTTTCTTGGATATACTTTGGAACCTATATATTCATCATTTTTTACTTAATCGCCTAGGACGGCAATGGGAAGCAGTAGTTATATTCTGATGAGATTCTGTGATATATAATCCCTGATCTTGTATGAAATGATCTGTGAGGGAGAGAATCGGGTCCCGATTTCTACCTTACGTAATTCAACACTGCGTTCAGATTGTGTTTCACAAAGCAGATACCAATAGATGAAGATTTCATGGTGACCGGAGAGTTGGCCACAGGTTGTGGGTATATGGAAGACAGTTATAGCGCTGCCTAATTCATACTCAAATTCTACTGTTCTCAACTCAAATCCATAGTGGGACACTTATAGTAACACATACAGTGACAGCCACACTCCAAACATAAATATATGCGCACCGCACATTTCCATCTATTTAAATAATCTGATATATGTTACATTATTTAAGACATGAGAGTAGACTTTCTAATATGATATATTGACTAGCAACTTCTTTTTTCATAAGAAAACATGTTGCAACTTTTTTTATTCTGTGACGATTTGTCCTAGCGTTTTCATCTGTTGGCAACTATCTGATCTGATTACCAATTCAGAGAGTAAGCAATCACTTTGATAATGAACTAATTAATTGTTTGGTTATCGATTTATTTGCTAAAAATAGAAGTTACCAGAAAAACGAGAAAATATTTTTCACATTTTAACGTTGAATTCCTTTTTTCTTAAGTGTGAAACATATCTGAAAAATGATTCTTATCCATTTCTATTACCTAAGTCTTATGATGATGTTGAAGACTTAGCTGTTGAAAACTGGAGTGATTTTCTTGAAAGTGAACCATTTCGTGTAAATGCTCAGGTAAGTTATTATTTTTGGTTAATATTCATTTTAAAAATTATTTTCACTTGGATTTTGTATATAGTGTGTTCGTTCAATTGGACCATGGTCAGCGGGAACGAAATCAGAGGAATCATCGATTCATAATACTTATATACAAATGATTGATGCTGCTAAACATTTTATATATATTGAAGTTGATAAATTTTTTAAAAAAATACAATTTTTGATTATAATTTCGTATTTAGAATCAATTCTTTATTACTATTGCTCAAGATTCAGTAGTTCGAAATCAATTAGCTAATGTTCTTTTTCGACGTATAGAACGAGCACATAAGTATGATGTATTTCTTTTTATTATATTATAACATTTAAAGAAATTTCTATTGTTGATTAGCAATGCTGAAAAATTTCGTATTTATGTTGTTCTTCCTCTTCTACCTGGTTTTGATAATACGAATGCTGTACGAGCTGTACTCTATTTTATTATGTGTTCAATTAC